GAGCCCGATGCGGGACTCGATCCCGGGACTCCAGGATCATGACCTGAGCCGAAGGCAGTCGCTTAACCAACTGAGCCACCCAGGCGCCCCCTCAATTGTTACCTTTTTGCATTGCTTTTAATCATACTTAGTTGTCCATTTTTCTGTATCTTAAGAAAACGTAAAATAGAGTAGCTAAATTACTTAGTACTTTAAAACTACCTTTTGTTGGTTGCTGTATATAAAACAATTGTTTAACAATAAAAAGTCCCCCAAATGTGGGGCACCTGGGTGGCTCAGTCAGTTAAGCGTCTGCCTTCGGCTCAGGTCACGATCTCAGGGACCTGGGATTGAGTCCCACATCAGTCTCCCTACTCAGTGGGGAGCCTGCTTCTCCCTCTGCCCCTCCCCCTTGCTCGTCCTCTCTCTCTCTCTTTCTCTGAAATAAATAAAAATCTTAAAAAAAAAAAGTCCCCAAACCAAATTAATGAATGCTAATTTATAGCAATCAGTGCATCCTACAACCAATCAACATGCATAAAGAAATGCTCCTGGGGCGCCTGGGTGGCTCAGTCAGTTAAGCATCTGACTCTTGATTTTGGCTTGGGTCATGATCTGGGGGTCGTGTGATCAAGCCTGGGTCCGGCTCTGCACTGGGCGTGGAGCCTGCTTAGGATTCTCTTCTCTCCCTCTGCCCCCCACCCCCAAAAATGCTCCTGATGAAGGTGACCATTAGCTGCATTTTCAAAATTCACAATTAAATCTCATTACATGACTCTCGTTATTTGTTAACTTTACTTTTTATAAGTAGTGTGAAGAAAAAGTTTACAGATCAAATTGTGATTGAAATGGAATAATTTTCTCATTCTAAATGATAATTTAAATAATTTCTCATTGTAAATAAGATGTAAAGGTATAGTAGCTAACATGTATTGGGCATTTAACGTGTGCCTGGCAGTGTTCCAAGTGCTTCCCACGTCATAACTTCCTTGATCTGTGAGGTGGGTACTATTTTATCTCCACTGTAGAGATGACAAAATCGCTTGTGGCACCAGGTGATAGAACAGTGCCCAGAGATGGGCTTTGGCTAGTCATTCCTGATTTCAGAGTCCACGCTCTCCACGCTCTATTCTATATTCCCTTATAAGGATAATCACTCAATAATATTTCTCATTTTTTCATAAATGCAAGTATCTATAATAACTTTTGGTGTTCTAAATTTTAACTATATGGGCTGCAGTGAATTACTCCAAAGATTAGTAATCCTTCCATCATGATGTCAATATTGTGTGAACCATTTTTCTATCAAGTAAGTTGATGTGTGTATAATTTAGGAGTTCTTTAAAATGTTGATATAATATTAAACTAATACTAATACTTTACTGTTTTGTTTGAGAGTCTAAGGAATGGCTCAGGATTTCCTTATTTATGGTTACCTTTCAACCTTCTGTACTTACCATATACCAAACTTATATTTATATTTTTAAACCTGCTTTAGATTGAAAGAAAGGAGTGGGGTAAGGGCTTTTAGTTGTTGATAGACTGTATTTGATCTGAAATGATTACAAGTAGTTTAGTAAGTTTATTTTTATTCTCTTTTGTTTTTAAACAGAATAAAGATCCTAAAATGTCTCGAGTTGCACTGGAATCTTTGTATAGATTGTTGTGGGTTTATGTAATTAGAATAAAATGTGAAAGCAACACTGTAACTCAAAGGTGAGTGCCTTTGTATTAAAGTGTATTTTTAGGAGTACCTGGGTGGCTCAGTCGTTGAGCATCTGCCTTTGGCTCAGGTCATGATCCTGGGGTCCCAGGATTGAGCCCCGCATTGGGCTCTCTGCTCAGCAGGAAGCCTACTTCTCCCTCTCCCATTCCCCCTGCTGTGTTCCCTCTCTTGCTGTCGCTCTCTCTGTCAAATAAATAAAATCTTTTAAAAAAAAGTATTTTTAAAAAAATCTTGGTAAAAAATATCACAATGATGGAATTTTAGTGAACATTATAGAGACCTCAAGAAGAAATATGGGGGCGCCTGGGTGGCTCAGTCGGTTAAGCGGCTGCCTTCGGCTCAGGTCATGATCCCAGGGTCCTGGGATCGAGCCCCACGTCAGGCTCCCTGCTCAGTGGAGAGCCTGCTTCTTCCTCTCCCTCTCCCTGCTGTTCTGCCTACTTGTGCTCCCCCTCTGTCAAAAAAATAAAATCCTTAAAAAAAAAAAAAAAAGAAATATGAATTCTCTTGACATCTTATGGAGAATAGGAAGAATGTTTGTTGTTTTTTTAATTTTATTTTATTATGTTAGTCACCATACAGTACATCATTAGTTTCTGATGTAGTGTTCCATGATTCATTGCGTATAACACCCAGTGCTCCATTCAGTATATGCCCTCCTTAATACCCATCACTGGGCTAACCCATCCCCCCACCCCCCTCCCCTCTAAAACCCTCAGTTTGTTTCTCGGAGTCCACAATCTCTCATGGTTCATCTCCCCCTCCGATTTCCCCGCCTTCATTTTTCCCTTCCTACTATCTTCTTTTTTTTTTTTTAAACATATATTATTTGTTTCAGAGGTACAGGTCTGTGATTCAGTAGTCTTACACAATTCACAGCACTCACCATAGCACATACCTTCCCCAGTGTCCATCACCCAGCAACCCTCAGTTTATTTCCTGAGATTAAGAATTCCTCGTATCAGTGAGATCATATGATACTTGTCTTTCTCTGATTGACTTATTTCGCTTAGCATAATACCCTCTAGTTCCATCCCTGTCATTGCAAATGGCAAGATTTTGGGGAGTTTTGATGGCTGCATAATTTTCCATTGTGTGTGTGTGTGTGTGTATACATATATATATATATTATACCCCACATCTTCTTTATCCATTCATCTGTTGATGGACATCTTGGCTCTTTCCACAGTTTGGCTATTGTGGACATTGCTGCTATAAACATTGGGGTGGCACGTACCCCTTCAGATCACTACATTTGTATTTTTGGGGTAAACACCCAGTAGTGCAATTGCTGGGTCGTAGGGTAGCTCTATTTTCAACTTTTTGAGGAACCTCTATACTGTTTTCCAGAGTGGCTACACCAGCTTGCATTCCCACCAACAGTGTAGGAGGGTTCTCCTTTCTCCGCATTCTCGCCAACATCTGTAATTTCCTGACTTGTTAATTTTAGCCAAAGAATGTTTGCTGTGGCTCAGTCATTAAGCGTCTGCCTTCAGCTCAGGTCATGAGCCCTGCTCCGCGGGAAGCCTACTTCTCTCTCTCCCACTCCCCCTTCTTGTGTTCCCTCTCTCGCTGTGTGTCTCTCTCTGTCAAATAAATAAAATCTTTAAAAAAAAAAGTTTGCTGTTAATGTCATTATCTCTTTATGACTGAGTCTTTTTTTTTTTTCTATAGTCGTCTTATGAGCATAGTGTCAGCACTTTTTCCAAAAGGTTCACGTAGTGTGGTTCCTCGTGATACACCTCTCAATATATTTGTGAAGATTATTCAGTTCATTGCTCAGGTGAGTGCTTTATCTCATAATAAACATATACGTGCAACTTATGCATAATCTGTTATAGTAATTTGGCGTTTTAAAATTAGTTGCACAACTGAAAGCATGATAACAAAACATTTATTAATATTGAATAGTGAAAAAATTAAAGTATGCTAGTACTTTTTTGGTGACAAAGTCAGTTTGAGTCCTTGATCTGCACCCTTGCAGAAGGCAATGAGGCCCACGGGCAGAAGAAGCATGTAATTTAGGAAGGGTCTGGGAGGTCTCTCTTGATCCTACTTTTAAGCCGTTGACCTCCTGAGTATCTCAAAGATTTTTGGAAAATTGTTCTCTCATGCATTCATCTAGTTTCTTAGGTACAGATACTAGAATCCACTGTAGCTAGTTGAGCCAGGGGTCTTTGAAGGAATCTGGATGGGTCATAGAGTTACTAGTAGGACTACTCTGAACGACTAAGAGGAAATTGCAGAATTGGGCTCTCAGGATGAGTGCTCCCTCTGCCACAAAGAGCTGCCAAGGGAGGAAGTCATCACAGTGGCCTCAGAATCTTGCTGCTGCTGTGCTCCCCATCAGTCCCCATCAGTAGAAGCTTCCTTCCATCTCCTGTCCTCCTCCTCTTCCTCATGTATGCCAGTTCCCATGGACACACATGACTATACCCTTTGGCAGGGTCTAAATCACATCCCAAAGCCCACTGTTCTGAGGAACCCTGGGAAATACGATACGAGCTTTCTCGTCTCTGCAGTAAAGGAAGGTTTATTAGAAGGGGGTTCAACAGGTGCTGAGTGAGCAAATCCCAGGTTTTGGCCACATTCCCTCTGGGGACATGAAGCCCGGGGTTACCTCATCAACTAAGGAAAATGCTTTGATTTCAGAATATTCATTGTGTCCTCTTTGAGCTGAAACTGTGACGATTTTGATGATTCAGATCATCTATAATGTAATTATTTTGAACAGTGAAGAAATAAGGAATATTTAAATAAAATTAATACATTTCTATTTACTGGAGCACAGAACTAATGATGATTCAGTGGGTATAAATGTGTCGGTAAGGTGAATGAAAGCAAATTGTGCTTGAGAGCTTGTGTTCAGAAAACTTTTGCCTTTGGTGCACGTCTCTATTTTTTCTTACCCTCGGATCTCTCCCTTGGATTAATCACCTCACACCAATGAGAACTGTGTGACTCCTCTCAAACCTCAGTTAATCTTACTAATCTTTTTCTCTCCCTGGAGGTTTCCTTCCTGGAGACCTAGTCTGCCTGTCTCAGGATGAACTCGCTGCTGTCTAGGCCTGCTGCATGGCTGTTTGCTTTTGTCATCATTCTGGGAATTCCTTCACTTAGATTTTGGGGTGTGATTTTGGTAAATGAGTGTTTAAACGTTTATCCTATTTGTTGGGATATTAAATCATTTGATAATTAAGTAACATATTTATAGTCCTATCATATTTTTTAACCTTACTTCATAGGTATATTTCTTTAGTCCATCTAGATTTTTGAAGTTCTTAATGGGCACAGACCTGTGTTGTTGCCATTATATGTATAATTCTGCACGTGATACCCAACACATAGTAGTGGAAAGTTATAAGGATTCCTTGATTGTTATTTTTTCCTAGGAACGTTTGGATTTTGCAATGAAAGAAATAATATTTGATCTTCTCAGTGTTGGAAAATCTACTAAAACTTTCACCATTAATCCAGAGGTAAAAAAAAATATATATATATATATATAATATGGTAATACCCTATTCTACATAAACTTTTTATTTTATTTTTTTAGAGCAGTTTCTGGAATCAGAACGCTTAGACTCAAATCATTAGTTAGAAGCTTTACTTTTAATTACCAGTGTGATCTGAGGCCAGTTATTTCACCTTTCTGATCGCCGACTCAGTGGTTTAATAGCATGATGAAAAATAATCGAGAGGAAGTTTTCCAGATGAATCAGCTCAGCCGACTTCTACAGGTTGTGATATGAGCTCAGGTTTCTTTTATCAATATTAGTATCGGATTTTTAAATATCATTTATTTAGCATTTCTTGAGCACCCAAAACGTGTCAGGCACTGTTTTAGGTATTAGAGACAAACAGGCAAAAATCCTTTTCCCCAGGTGGAGTTTACGATTACAAAAAAAATAGGCAAAAGAATTAAATACTAAACATTTCCTACTTCTGTGGCCCTGTTATTCACTTAGTAAACTCTAACTCACTCTTTAGACATTACATTTTCAGATTGTTCAAAAGTATTTTACAGGGCGCCTGGGTGGCTCAGTTGGTTAAGCGACTGCCTTCGGCTCAGGTCATGATCCTGGAGTCCCGGGATCGAGTCCCGCATCGGGCTCCCTGCTTGGCAGGGAGTCTGCTTCTCCCTCTGACCCTCCTCCTTCTCATGCTCTCTGTCTCTCATTCTCTCTCTCTCAAATAAATAAATAAAATCTTAAAAAAAAAAAAAAAAAAAGTATTTTACAAACTAACTGCTTACTAGAATCAAATGACATTGGAGAGTATAAAAAGGTTATCTCTTATTTCTTTAAAATTACTCTGCTGGTCCTTCTCATAATCAAATCCTAAAAAATATATTTATGTAGTTAACGAAGGAGTTGGAAAGTTATTGAAGCTTTTCATTTGTAGGATTTTTAAGATACATTAAAATTATTTCCAGGTTTATAAAGTGAGCAGAAATGATTTTTATAGATGACATATTTAATATGGTTTCCAACCTCGGAAATCACATAATGAAAGAGATTTTCTTGAACATCCATTTTCAAAAATATTCTCTCCATTGAACAAGTTTATTTCTGAATATAAGTTTTTTCCTCACTGAAGCTCTTGTAGGAGGAGTAGAAAGAGTGTGAGTTCTGTTTTGTTGTCTCGTTCCATAGGCTTACTCTTTTAGGATTATCTTTAATCCCTATTTTCAGAATCTTTTTCAGCTTGTGAGAGCGAGTTTAGTTAAAGCCAGAAAAAATTATCCATTTAATACACCGGAAGTATGAATAAGTGGGGGTACTTCTGTGAACCCCAATATATTATGGTGCTTTTCCACTTCCTTCATGATGTTTTCTATGACTGTGTGACAGGACCATGTGATATTTAGACTAAGGGAGGACACTGGTGCTATGTCGTATATAAAGACAAGTAAAGCTTAAAACTTAAATCTTATTTAAATAGATTTAAAAATACATATAAATAAAAAATACATATAAAATAAATACAAATAAATAAAAATACATATAAATACATATAAATAAAATACATATAGAGTAAAGCTTTAAACTTTAATCTTATTTAAACAGATTTAAAAATACATATAAATAAATTTTATTTGTTTCCTATATTCCAGTGAGCTATCTTGCACACCCATTGGGATGCACATGGCCACTTTAGAGACCACTGGCATAGGGCAGAGACAACGGTGGCTTGGGCTGAGAACCGTGGTGGTGCAGCTGGAGAGGAGATTGTTGACCCTGGAAAGAAACCTTGAGAAGGGATTGTGGTTGAGGGGAAAGTGCACTTGGCTTGAACGAGTTGAACCTGAGGCATCTTTTTGACATCGAAGTAGAGATGTCAAGTGGGTCTGAGGGTCCGAGTTCAGAGAAGTGAGGCTTCACATTGGCGGGGGATGTGGTGTGGGTGGTAACGGAAGCCATGTAGATACGTGAAGTCACTCTGGGAGAGAAAACCTAATGATAGGAGAAGGCAGTCTAGTACCTCCTCTTGAAGCAGTCTCACATTGACTGGCGAAAGGAGGCCAGAGCTGAAGTGTCAGCAGAGATGACTCAGCCAGCCGTGGCACAGATGAGTCAGAGGAAGGAAGTGTTTCAGAAAACAAGGAAGAGTTGACCATGTCCTGTGCTGCTTGAAAAGTCACTAATGAGGGAGAGTTGCTTCAGGGAAGTATTATGGGGAGGACTTGCTCCATTAAGATAACTGAGCATAGTTAATGGAAGTAAACAGAATATCCAGTTGAAAGGGAAGTGTTGAAGATGGGCTCAATGGTGGTGTACCATTGCCGGAAAGCAAGAGCAGATGGGATCCTAACACCGAGGAAGCCCAGCGCCCCCTTGACTGTCTGTCATCCGGACGAAGGAGAGGGAGAAGAGGTGTTAACCTCGTGAGAGACTGAGGACAGTTGATGGCTTTTTCTTCTGTGAAGTAGGAGACCTATCATCTGCTTAGAGAGGGGAGGGGTTGGTAGGAGGGTGGGATTGCTGAGGAAGGAGGAAAGAGGTTTGAAATAAGCTTTCTAGAGAATAGGAGAGCCAGTTGGCCTCAGAAGTGAAGGGGCGGCATTTGGGAATTTGGTATTAAACTGTAATGCCTGGACTACTTAAAAGACATTGGACAGAAAAGTTAGTTTTCCTCATGTCCTCCTGCCCCCTACCCTCCCCAGGGTTAATTGACAAGATGTTTTCAACATGAAAAAAGGATATTTTCTGACACTTTGATTTCATTCTGAAACTTTTTTTTTTTTCCCTGAAGAGAATGAACATAGGCCTCAGAGTCTTCCTTGTAATAGCAGACAGCTTGCAGCAGAAGGATGGGGAGCCACCGATGCCCACGACAGGGGTTATTCTTCCCTCAGGAAACACTCTTCGTGTCAAGAAAATTTTTCTCAACAAAACCTTGACAGATGAAGAAGCAAAAGTCATAGGTTAGTGTTAACTGGGCCAAATAAACTGCTTTGTGATACAGTTTAATATTCTTTTGAAAAAATTTGTGATCGGGACACCTGGGTGGCTCAGTCGGTTAAACGTCTGCCTTCGGCTCAGGTCATGATGCCAGGATCCTGGGATCGAGTCCTTTATCGGGCTCCCTTCTCAGCGGGAAGCCTGCTTCTCCCTCTGCCTGCCGCTCTCCCTCTCTCTCTCTCTCGCTCCCTCTCTCTGACAAATAAATAAAATCTTAAAAAAAAAAAAAAGTTTGTTATCAAATCTAAAATGAAAATGTTGGTCTAATATGGTTATTCCAGTACAGAATGATACAAAAAGTGAATACAGTTTTGATAATACCTATAAGTTTTCATATTAAGAGTCTTCCAATTCAGTCTTTATTTTCTTACATGATATATTTACTGCATTTTGTACTTCCTTCAAAGTAATTTTAGTTCTGTGCATGAGTTGTACACTTTCTCTCCAATATACTGAAGCTGATCATGAGGGAGAAGAGTATATCACAGTTGAAATTCCTTCCTTGGTGACAACAATAGCTGATGTCCTTTAAAGATAGGCTTTTATTTTTTATGGAAAGTAACTACGGCTATTCTTTATCTAATTTCTGACATCTTATAACTGTGAGGTTTTTTTCCCCTAGGAATGTCAGTGTACTATCCTCAAGTGCGTAAAGCATTAGATAGCATTCTCAGACATTTGGACAAAGAAGTTGGGAGACCGATGTGTATGACTAGTGTGCAGATGTCCAATAAGGAGCCCGAAGACATGATTACGTATGTAGTAAACTATTTCTCTTCATTGCTATTTCAGTTTTCGTTAAGAGGTTCATTCTTGCTTCCTTCCTGTCTCCTCTGGAGTTGTCCCATATTGCCATCTGCTGCAGTTTTTAATACAGTGATTCCTTCCACGTGCTCAGTTTTATTCTTTAAAGTGCTATCAAATGAGTATAGAGAGCAAAAGTCCTCCTGGATCTCAGCGTAGTTGCCAGTGACAAGGCCCTATCCTTGTTCCATGACCAATAGATAAATCCTGATTATCCTTGACACGTGTGGATATGGTTGGTTTAGTAAGTCAAACACATACTCTTATTTCCAGAACCCCAACAAAAAAGAAAACCTAAAAATCTCCTGGTAACAAGAGGTACAGAGGGGAATAATGTGAGTAGTTTTTTTGAAACAGTACCTCAGCCCCCTGCCCCCTCAGCCCCAGGCTTGTCATGGCTTGTCATCCCAGCATCTTTTTTCCTTATCTGTTAGGGACTTTCTCCTCCAGAGGATGTATTGTACGGCAGTAACTTGTTTTATTTGCTAGTATCTACATATCCTGTAATAAGGGAGGACATTTTTTTAGCTATTAATATCTGCATTGTAGGTTTTCAAACACCAAACTGCATATTTGATCTCTCAATTTAATTAATATAGAGTTATTATATAATAGCATATGCTAACATCTCTGAGAACTTCTCCAGTGTTGACATTTTTTCCCTCTGCCTCCCTTTCTCTGGAAAGTCTCTGTCTTCTTTGTCACAGCGTCCTTCCTTCCTGTGTGACAGAGTTTGCCCTCACTAGCTTCCCCTGGCTGTAATGTGCGGTCTGCAAACACAGCAGCATCAACAGTCCCTGCCGGCTGTTCCCTCTGTAACACCATTCATGTTTGATTCGAATTTCACCTTCAGCAATATTGCTTTTCCTCTAACTGCTGCACTTAAATCTTTGTTGGCCAGTTTCCTCTTCTGATGATCCCTGTTTGTAAAATGTCACCTGTGTTTATCACTGGGGACAAGGAAGCAACACAGTTACCGCTTTGCTGTCTGTGAAGGAGTGAAGAGCATGCGACTCTTGTTGTCGGGGTCATGAGTTCGAGTCCCATGTTGGATGTAGAGATTACTTAAATAAATAAAACTTAAAAAAAAAAAAAGTGACATGATTAGTCAGGGATTATGATGTAATCTGTTATTTACACAGTGATTTATGGGCTGTTGAGCTAGCAGGGAAACTGGTATTATTTAACTGAATTGTTGTAACTGAATTCATGCATATTGGAACCATTTAAAGAAAAGACTGACTGTATAAAATCTTTAAAAGTAGGTAGCAAGGCTTTTGCCACTATAACGAATACTGACCCAAAATGCTTAAACATCCAAATTCTTTTCTACCTGAGAATTTTTTAGGCCACCTCAAGAACAGTTTGGATAGAATAAACTAAAATCCTCACCTTGAAATATAGACCAAAATAAAAACAAAAACCAGTGCATTAAGAAGATATTTAAAATTTTTAAAAATCATTGAATAACTAGAAGAAAATGTAGTAGAAATAAATTGAATCAAGCCTCTGAAGGAACCAGGATTTTCAAAATTGACATTTAATTATGTAGAAGTTTAAATATATATATTTGTGTGTATTTGTGTATATCCTGAAGTAAAATAAAAAGAAAATAGTACCAACAGTGGAATATGAGAATGTCTGTTTTTTAAGACCCTTTTTAATGTATAATATTAAATGAAAAACATTTTTTTGGTTAATTTTGTAGGTTCCTAAAATAACCAATGTTTGGTTATTTAATAATATCAATATTATTTATTATGGTTTAATAATTAAATATTCTTTATTAAAGGTTAGGTTCTGATTAAATTATATTTAATTTTTAATTTAAAATAATTGTATTCTAAATAATTAAATATTATTATTTAAACATAATAGTTCCTGTGGCTTTCCAACTACTGAAAATCTTTTTTGCTTGCTAGAGGTGTTTTCTTTCCTGAATTATCTCTTTATTCTTTTGTCTACTTATAAACTGATGACTATTTACTGGATTTGTATGAATTCTTTTTATATTAAATACATTAAACTTTTTTAGGGGAAGGAGACTCCTATTTTCTATAATTATTTTTCCAACTTTGCTTTCATTATCTAGCACATTTAATAAACTTACTAAATCCTGTTATATATTTTTCAGGGGGGAAAGAAAACCCAAAATTGATTTGTTTAGGACTTGTATTGCTGCTATTCCAAGGTTGATTCCTGATGGCATGAGCAGAACTGACCTCATTGAACTGTTAGCAAGGTAAATGAGAATTACTCTTTGCTATGTTACTTTTTACCTCTTTCAGTCCCTTTAAATTTTGAATACACCCCTGTTATTGTTCTCATGAACACAGTAATAAAGGCATGTTCATTCCTTTTATTTGATAAACTTTCTGAACTTCCATTTTGTCTTTTATGTTTTGTTAAATACCTTCTCCCCACTCATTTTTAACTTTATAAAGTTCTTTTGGATACCTCTACAAATCCTATTTTTCTATTTTCTAGCCTTCCATCTAGTATATTTCTTAGAATTTAAGCAAGGCATTATTCCTTAGCAGATGTGTGGGTTACCCCCTGGGCAGTGAGCTGTTGGGTTAACTCTTGCAGTCATTCCTATAACACCCAGGTTGGTGACCAGATCTCATTGTCACTAATTTCTCCTATCGCAGAGCCTGTTGGGTTCGAGTTTTTGCTTCTCTTTCCTCTGTTGGGCTTGTCATAGCTTTATAAAATAAGCAATACCATGCCAACCAAATTTAAATACTTGCTCCCAAAACTAATTCTAAGCTGAGGTGAAGACTTGTTGAAAGCTGCTTTTTTGTTGGTGGACTTAGGGATTCTGTAGATAAGGGGTCAGCAAACATTTTTCTGTGAAGGCCCCAATGGGAAATATCTTAGGATGTGCAGGTCACACGGTCTCCAGTGCCACGCAAAAGCAGCGGAGGACAGCCTGTAAAGGAGGGGGCGTGGCCGTGTTCCCATGGCGCCCCCTGCAGTTTGGCCCTCGAGCTGTAGTTTGCTGGCCTCTGCTCTAAATGAAAGACCAAGTATCACCACAGGGGTATTTGACTGTATTGAAAGATGTTTACTGGTTGCCAGGCACTTATCGCTAAGAATTGAGTTAAATTCACCGCGAACAGCTAGTAGACTTCTTCAGCAACCCTTTACCTCCTCCTCGAAAACACCTAGCATTTCACACACCCGTCACTACCCTATCCTCAACCATTGCAGGTTGCCATCAAGATACAGAATGGCATTTGTCTTCTCCATTCAGGATTCTGAGGGCAGAAAAGGCGTTACTTTGAAACTTTGCACCATCAGATCAATTCATCCCTTTCCACTCTCTTAATTTTTGCTGTGAATTGGATTGAAGAGTTACAAAGTTCATGTCAGTGTTAGGGAAGGAAAAGAGGTTTACTGATTTGTAATGGTATTCCTTGGAAAAACAGTAAACAGCTCTCACTCAGTTGTACTCTTACTCCTCCCCTTAAGTTAACTCGCCTGCACACCTTTGTGGATGGCGATCCCATACCCCCCACCAAAAACAAACTGCATCATAAGGGGCAGGGATTGGGGAGCTTAGTGAAGGCAGCAGACATCTCATCAGTGAATGACAGCTTTGTGACTTGCTTTGCTTCTTTCCCTTATGAGGGAAAAGCAAGAAATTCATTTACTTTCCCTTATGAGGTAAAAGCAAGAAATTCATTTACTAATTTACTTCAGCAGAAAGGAAGATTCTAGGGTCTGTTCTATTTTGTCCCTCATTCTTATCATTTGGAATTACGATCTCTAAATCTTGGGGTTTTGTTTTGTTTTGTTTTTTAATTAAAGCAAGTAAACAAAACAAAGATGCATTTGTAAACCTGTATGCTATGTCTAAGAAAAGTTAATTCCTCTGCCTTAAATTGGCCAGGCTATATTGTTTTTCTCTACACAGTGGGTGGTTAACTCCTGAGGGTATATCCCGAGTTACACAGATAGGGGCAAGATGGACACGTATACTTTTGGGGATTTAAGGGATGTTGAAATCATCTTTAAAGTGAGCATCATGGAGACAGTCACTGTTCTTCCACAGTACCTCCCTTGGGGCCACTATCAGAGACAGAACACTGGGCTAGAGAGCCTGAATCTGGCCCCGCATGATATTTCTGCTGCTGCTCATCCGTGGCTTACTTCCAAGTCTGTCGAGCTGTAATAGATGTTCTCTTCGGTCTCACTGTCAGTTGAAGGTTTGCTTAGTGAAGACCAGAACTGAGTTCAGCGGGGTGAAGACGGTGATATCACCTTCCACCTAAAGCACACAGCTTTCCTCCTCTGTCAGTGAAGATAACTCCACCCTCCCAGCTTCCTAAGCATGTCATTGTGGCATATTCGTAATATTAGCTACTTAGCTTATTCACTCAGGCTCTTCCTAACTCTGATGTATGTGTCCTGATGGGCAGTCACTAAAGAAATCCACTGCAGCCCCAAGTCAGAAACTGTTGCCCATAGAGTATTATATAATGGCAGCTTCACTACTGCAACCGTCTTTTATGGTTTTTCTTGTTTATCATTTTCTGCTTTATGTTCTGGTAAAATCCTTTAGCTAATATTACTTTCATGTCTTCCTATTGTTTTGATATCTTTAGAAGGTAATTTTATGTAGCCTCTCCTCGAAGTCTCTTTAGGGACTTCTGTGTTAGATCAACACTTTTTTTTCCTATTTTTTTTCTAGGTTCACCCTATTTATGATGTTACTCCAAAATTTACTCTCATGCTTCAGGATTATTTCTGTTAAATTGCTTTCATCTTGGTTTATTCAATTTTCTTATTTACAATCAGCCATCTTATATTTAACCGTAACCTCAGCAGCATGAAAAAAATGACAGATAAATCATGTTCTTTCCAGTGATAATAAAGGACTAAACAAATGAGAGATAGTGCTAAGATATTGTATGATTGGATATAATTTTTGACTGATTACAAGATAACATACAGCAAGCATTTTAAGGATCAAAGAATTTTTTAAATGTACTCTGTCAGTCTGTATTTTTTAAAGTACAGCATTTTAATTATCAAACTTACTATCTGAATTATAGTAAATACCAACTACTATTAATAGATCTATATGTGAATTTAAACAAGTGAATATAGAATAACATAGGCGTGAATATATACAAAAGGTGAACATTGGTTCCTATCCTCAGACTTTAGGAATCAGTGAAGAGGACATATTTTTTAAGTTCCTAGTTTTAAGTTTTAGATGATAAAACTACTTGGAAGGTTTTGAGGTTTGCTAATGGAATTTTGTTCTTGGTAGGCTCACAATTCATATGGATGAAGAACTGCGTGCTCTGGCTTTCAATACCCTCCAGGCACTAATGCTTGATTTTCCAGATTGGCGGGAGGATGTGCTTTCAGGATTTGTTTATTTCGTTGTTCGTGAAGTGACTGATGTCCATCCCACGCTTCTTGATAATGCTGTAAAGATGTTGGTACAATTAATAAACCAGTGGAAACAAGCAACCCAAGTGCATAACAAAAACCAAGACTCCCAGGTACCAAATTCTTTTGTATGGTCCCTTTGTGTGTGGTCAGTGGTAAATGAACAGCGGTGGTGTTAATATATGTTGATTTCTTAAAAACTAAACATTTGCTTAGTTTTGTTTACTTTGGAAGTATTCGTAATCCCTTAAACGGAACCTTCCTATAGTTCAGATATTAAATACAGTGTGTGTCCAACCTTTCCAACCTTCTTCCTTAGGTAACAATTAGGTTTAGAATAAACACAGAAACTAGAGGCAATGCTTGCTTACATCTAGGCTATTTCCAATACATTTAAAGCTGATAGAATAATAATTTTTGGTAGTAGTCCATTTGAGTTATTTGATTGTTTTACCCATGGCACTAGTCCCTGCTTCACATATACAATCTGTATGTTTCTTTAACATGAAAGGTGCTCAAATTATTGATTTATATAATGGATTGTCCTAGAACCTTGGAATTTTAGAGCTGAATCATCTAAATCAGTCCAGCTTCTCAACCTTTAGTGAGCATAGAAGTCACTATGGGCCTGAGCACCTGGGTGGCTCAGTCAGTTGAGTGTCTGCCTTAGGCTCAGGTCATGATCTCGGGGTCCTAGGATCGAGCCCTGCGTCAGGCTCCCCGCTCAATGGGGAGTCTCCTTGTCCTTCTGCCTCTCTCTGTCAAATATATAAATAAAATCTTTAAAAAAAAAAAGGGGGGGGGGAATAAATCACCAGGGGCCTAAGAATCTCTGTTTCCTACAAGCTCCTAGATGATGCCATGCTACTGGTCTGCACTTTGAGTTCAAATGGTCCAGTTCAATCCCCTCATTTTCCACAAAGAAATGTTAGACCAAGAGTGACTAACAGTGTCAGCTCCAAGATTACAAAGCAGCCAGAGAATGGTAGAAATTCAGTACAGAATTCATATTTAGACTGCCAAATAAATGCTTTTTCTTCTGCGTATACTGTTAAATTTTTATAAATTAAATATTATTTAAATTGCTTGAACCCAGGCAGACCTGTAGCTGTAATTGATATAATTTGTTTTACTCTTTATTAATGGTTGTACTGGAATGTCTACACATATTATTTTATTTTTAACCTCTATTTATTTTTCAAGCATGGTGTGGCTAATGGAGCGTCTCATCCCCCTCCTCTGGAAAGGAGTCCGTATTCCAATGTATTCCATGTGGTCGAAGGGTTTGCACTCGTCATTCTCTGTAGCAGTCGACCTGCCACTAGGAGATTAGCCGTCAGTGTCCTTAGAGAAATACGGGCTCTGTTTGCACTTTTGGAAATACCTAAGGTAAGATTTAGGTATATCATTTAATTATCTAGTGAAAGTACGTTAAAAACTCTCCTGTTGTTCATTCTTACTACATTTCCGTTGCTACTCTGCAGGTATAATTTACCTTTATAACAAAGGAACAAAGTCTTTTTTTTTTTTTTTAATTTTTGTGCAAACCCCTGTGTCGGGGGCTGACTTTCAATAGGTCGCAGCGAGAGAGCTGCTCTGCTACGTAGGAAACCCCGACCCGGAAGCAGGTCGTCTACGAGTGGTTTAGCACCAGGTTCCCCACGAACGTGCGTTGTGTGACGGGCAAGGGGGCGACCCCCTTTTCGGCTGCGCCCCGTTTCCCAGGGCAAGGGGCTCTCCGCACTGGACTCCAGTCCCGACACGCGGGGGAGAGACAAAGTCTTTTTGACAGGGTCTAAACTAACCCACCTGCCCTCAATTCCATTTGTCACAAAGGGTACTAATGTGAATTTTGTTATGTTTTCTTAGATTTGGCTACTTAATCATTCCTAAATATTTTTAGACATATGATACTTTTTTATAGGGTGATGATGAATTAGCCATCGATGTGATGGACAGGCTGAGCCCATCCATTCTTGAGAGCTTCATACATCTCACTGGGGCCGATCAGGTAACTGGAATGATTTCATGCTATTCAGTCTTGGAACTTTAGACAGACATATATGAATTTCCTTTATAAATTTAATGCATTGGAAAGTATTTTATGCCCAAGTCATAAGTAATTTGACTCAGTAAGATGAAGAAAAACACTTTGTCAGCACACACAACTAAGAATGGTTTGATTTTTTTTTTGAAAGGTCATACATCAGGATTTCAAGATGGACGTAAACATAACTATCAAACTTTATTTCTTGAAATTTTTTCTTCCCATTTGGAATACACGGACAAGGTTTCTGTGCTCTCTGTGTGACAGTTGGCTCTTAAAACTCTACAACTTAATGTATAACCGAGGGAGATAATAAAAAATTTTATAAACCTAAGTGATGATTATAAATCTGTACAATTTAAAGAATTCTGTTTTGAATATTAACTATGATTTATGCCAACAAAAAGAATAGTGAATGACTCTTGTCTAGTGCTTAAAGCCCTGCCTGCCTCATAGCAGGTGTTTTGTACATATCTGTTGACTTGATAGAGTGAATTGAGCCTCTGTTCAGTTTAAGACTCCATTTGTTTTTTGTTGTTGTTCAAATGACTCTGTTCAGTTTAAGACTCCATTTGTTTTTTGTTGTTGTTGTTCAAATGACTCTGTTCAGTTTAAGACTCCATTTGTTTTTTGTTGTTGTTGTTCAAATGACACATAATTTGCTCTGAAGGTAAATCTTTATCTCTTCAGTATAAGAGCTTAGAATATCGTTGAACAAATATTTAACAGTATGTGCCTCTGGCAGAGTCCATTTTCATGTCTGTTCTACTTATGCGTATTTAGGGCACGTCAGCATAAAGTTAATCGTCCATTTTTCGGTTCCCAGCAGCTTTAGTATGCCCATGAAAGTTGCCTGTTCCTACATGAATTACGTAAGTTGTGGTTCTTCACCTTTTTGGTTTATAGATCCTTGTGAGACTAATGAAAGCTATGGACTCTCTCTCCAGAACAACACATGTACGCACATACACAAAAAAATGTTATGTGCAATTTCAGGAATTCAATACTCCCTCAAACCCATCTGGGCCTCATTAGAACCTCTGTTTTAGAACCTCTGTTCTAGAAACTACCAATAGGCCACATATAGTTTAATGCAATTCGTATGGCAAAACGTGTGAAAGTTACTAAAATGTGTGATAATCTGCTGTTTTTTTTCTCTACATAGACTACTTTGCTGTATTGCCCTAGTTCGATAGATTTACAGACATTGGCAGAATGGAACTCTTCTCCTATCAGCCACCAGTTTGATGTGATTAGTCCATCACACATATGGATATTTGCACACGTGACCCAAGGCCAAGACCCGTGGATTATAAGTCTCTCCAGTTTTTTAAAGCAGGAAAACCTTCCCAAACACTGCTGTACAGCTGTGAGCTATGCTTGGATGTTTGCATACACAAGACTTCAGTTGTTGTCCCCACAGGTTGATATAAAGTAAGTTCTTTTCCTAGTGTAAATTTTAAATTGTGTAGACTGTCAGTGTCTATATGTATTTGAAAAGTCCTACAAGTTGGAAATTCCACAAGTAAATAACATGCCATAATGTTTTGATGTATTAAGGAGGGAGATGAAAGATGTAAAGGATGTAGTCTTATAATGCCTTCATCCTTTTCATGTCATTCAGTCTCACCAGATTGTTAGTTTACTTAATAGCACAGTGCTTGGTACATAGTATGTGTCTGATGAATCCGTCCATATTGAAGGAAAGGATCTGAAGAGGAGTATGGATGTGGATATAGATAGGTAAGTTTATAGATGAAGGGTGTGACATGAAGAGATAGTAAGCTCAGTGACCTGTCTTTTCCTGATGACATTATAAGGAAGGCCATCTGCCGATAGGGATTAGTGATAGTAACATTGGGTTTTCATTTGGAGGATAATGGTAAAAATTTGGAGTAACTGATGATGTGATAAAGAGGAAGGTCATCATAAGCTGCGATTAATTTCTTCTTGCTCTTAAATATAATAGAGAATTTTTGAACCTGAATTTGAGTTCCTGATTTCACTTGATCTAGTATGCCATTCATCAGATCACATGGAATGAATACTCTCATCGTATAAGTTGCCCATATAAACCCAACACCCAGACAGACCTAACACCTTAGGCTCACATGAAAGGCTGTCCAAACTTGGCTCTAGTCTATATGTTTTTCCATACTTTCTGTCATGGCTACCTATGTATATTCTTATGGTGGACCCAAAAGAACTTCTCAGAGTTCACTGCATGGGTCTACAGTTTCTATTCTATGAGTTTTTGTTCCCATGAACCTAGAATGCCTTTTGTCTTCTGTATCTTCTATATGTGGATATCTGATGTATCTTAAATTCCACCTTATTTTTAAAGCCTTCTCTTACATCTCCAACCCAGAGTAATCATTCCTTCTTTTGGATTTGAATATAGATACTTTTGGTACTTCTGTATGTGTATACACACTTACTGTATATCTGTGTAGATCTCAGGAATTGTGTATTAGATGGTATTTTTTTTAGTGAAAATTGACACTTGCCATCTTGCATAAATAACATTTACGACCTTATCTTAGTTTCCCCTAATTGCCATATTTCAAATTAGAAGGCCTCTCCTACTACCATCTTCTATCTCTTCTGTTGTTCTTCATCACACTTGGCACCATCTGACATTGTTTTATTTATTTCTGTATTGTATATCTTCCCCAGTACACATGATGGCAGTGATTGTTTACAGGGTTGGTTTGGTTTTGTTTTACTGCCGTCACAGTATTTTCTAAAATAATAAAACACTGTTGATGAATTAATGAAGTGCTGTGTTTGCTTTGCTTATCTTAATATATAAATGTATTGAAGCCTAGGACTATATGTATTAGTATTTTTCTGTTTTGTTTTGCTCTCAGTCCTTAATTCCACCAGAATTTTGGTGTTTGGAAAGATTTATAGAATTATTCCAACATATTTTATTGGTCTAATGTTTTAAGAGAAATTTGACAGAAGCCTTAAAAATGTAGCTATTCTTTTGAATGCTGCAGTTCCATTTTCAGGAATTTACCCAAGAAAATAATTAAACCTTTATTATAGTTAAGCATATATTCAAATGTATAGTGTTGTGTATTATAGGGGAAAATTGCTCTTAGCTAAAATGTCCAATAATGAAAATTTGGACAAAAAAACCTGAAGGTTTGGACAATAAATCTTGATAATCTTTATAATAATATAGCATACAGTCATCAAAAAATGACGTCACAGAAGTATATTCTTTTAATGGAAGATGTTTATTTTTATTTAATTTTTTTTGGTTTTAAAAATATTTAATGGAAGATGTTTAAAAACTCATTAAATACATGTGAATACAAACAGTATTATTCAGTTTTTATAAGTTAAAGGTGATATATTCATGTATTTATATACATGTATGTATTTGAATTGAAGATGTATAAAAGAGTATCAGTGCTTATATTGACGTGGGGTTAAAGGTGATTTTCATTTTGTTTTTTTTTTTTAAAGATTTTTATCTATTTATTTGACACAGAGAGAGACAGCGAGAGAGGGAACAGAAGCAGGGGGAGTGGGAGAGGGAGAAGCAGGCTTCCCGCCGAGCAGGGAGCCCGATGTGGGATTCGATCCCACCACGGACCCTGGGACCATGACCTGAGCTGAAGGCAGAAGCTTAACGACTGACCCATCCAGGCGCCCCTCAGTTGTTTTTTTTGTTTTTGTTTTTTTTACACTGAGCATGTATAATAAGTTATAAAATGTGGCCTGATAAAGTATTAACTTCGGTCACAAAAATAGCAGATGAAAATGATGCTACAGTATGTTTTAATTTTCAGTCAAGAGTCATTTATATGTTACACCATTCCACAGAGATTCAGTGGTAGTAATAAAACTTCATGTTAACCACCTTTCCTAAATTGACAGAATTTCGCTTTAGTTAAAAAAAACCAAACCGCCCTGAGAACACGTTGTATTACTTGCTTCCCCCAGTAGCCCCATCAATGCTAAGAAAGTGAACACTGCCTCAAGCAGTGACTCCTACGTCGGCCTGTGGAGAAACTACCTCCTCTTGTGCTGCAGTGCGGCGGCCGCCGCGTCCTCTTCCGCGCCGGCGGGGTCTGTGAGGTGCTCCCCTCCCGAGACGCTGGCATCCACCCCTGATAGTGGTTACGGCATTGATTCCAAGGTAAGATTCCCCGGCCGCCACGGAGTCGGAAGGGCACCGTGAAGCAGTGTTTTCAGATTTCCTTTCCAGGACAATAAAGTAGTTTGGTTGAAAAGTTTATTACTTGTACTAATGATGAAAATAGTTCAAGGAGTCCTATTACTATGGATTCCTGGTTGGAATCAATTATATATAGTTTTTCTTTGGTGAAAAGAGGGTCATGCTCATTAAATTCATCATATTTTTTTAAAGATTTTATCTATTTATTTGACAGAGAGAGAGACAGCGAGAGAGGGAACACAAGCAGGGGGAGTGGGAGAGGGAGAAGCAGGCTTCCCGC